TGTAGAGCTTGAAGGTCAAATAGAGACACATTGTGGCTAATGTACAATCAATAGTAATCATTAATTTGTAGTAGTTAAAATAAGCGTTGCTGATATCGTCAGATTTTCTGTGTACAGAAAAGATGACATAGTTTTGTTTTATTGGTGAGCTATAGAAAAGTGTTAATATCCCAAGCAGGGCCAAATTCCCTACTTCAAACACTGTTCTGGTAAAAATGGCCATATTTAGAAGACCCCGATTCTCTAGTTCTGATCCTGGAGGAAAGCACGACTCTATTCTGCTGAGAGAATACAGCACATTCAGGTACAGCACATTCAGGTACAGCACATTCAGGAGTCAGTTATAAGGAAAGCTTGAGTTGTTGTTGAGTAGAACATAAAATACAGTAGACAAGGTAAACACTGACAGAGAATTCGATTATCTTGTTAAAATTTTTATATAACAAAATTATATATTGCCTAATTCCTTGATTATAGGATAAAATTTAGCTATAAGGATGTTATTTTATGCCAAACACCCTGTGGATGTGTGAGGTTATGTTCCAGCTCCACAGATAAGGAAACCAGGGCTCAGAGGTATGAAATAACCTGTCCATGTCCCAAAGCTAGCAAGCAGCAAGCCTGTCCCCATGCTGCCTTATGCTCACATGTCCTGTGTCATGAGAGCACTCAGGCAGTGAACCTGAGTCGGGAGGTGGTTTCTCCGCCCCCTTTGGTATTTCTCTAGCTATTCCAACTCCCACAAATCACTTTCTCTACCTCTCTTACTACAGATTGATCATGAAGGTGAAAGAAGGTTGCTATGGTCTGGATATTTACATTTCACCAAAACTCATATGTTGAATACCTAACGCCCATAGGTGATGGTATTAGGAGGTGATTAGGTCATGAGGGCAGAGCCCTCATGAATGGAACTAATGCCCTTATAAGAGAGGCTCCAGACAACTCTCACCCCTTCCATCATGTGAGGGGGCACAGGAAGTCTGCTACATGGAAGAGGTCCCTCACTCGACTATGCTGGCACCCTAATCTTAGACTTCCAGCCTTCAGAACTGTAAGAAACAAATTTCTAGTATTTATAAACTACCCAGCTTGTGGTGTTTTGTTATAGCTGTCCAAACAGACGAAGACAGGTAAGGCATGAAAAACATCTGAACAATTTAGCCTGTGAGAGCCAAACAAGACTTCAGTGAACATGTAACTAAAGCCATTTACTTTCCACCTGAGGAGTATAAGGTGCCCAAGGTAAGTGATTTAACCAAGTTCCCAAAACTACTTAGTGGCAGTTATGCAACAGGCTACAGAAATGTTAGATATTAAGTCATCTTAGTATATGAAATAATTGCATCATTGATTCTATTCTAAAATCAGGGTAGAGTTTTAACTTGGATTGAGGCACTATGCTCTGAAACCAGTGAAGGCAGGGGCCATGTCTTTCTTTTCTCACATTGTTTTCCTAGCCTGGCACACTGTTGAGTAGAAGAACATAAAATAGACCATAAATGAAAAAAAAAAATAGACCACAAATGAAAATTACATCTACTATTTGCTCATGATCAACATGATATTTTTGAAAATCACTTTCTAAAAAGTTGAGATTTGGGGATCCAATGACTTTTCATTTGATGTTTTCACAAATGAAAGTGATGACAGCTTTCACATAGTATACATTTACAGTACAAAGAAAGGAAATGCATCTGAGCCTTGGTTATTCTCTTAGAAGGGAAAAACTGGGTTTCTGTGGATAATTTAAGAATTGTAATCACTCCAATTCATTTCTATGTACCTTTGGAATATGAGTTTTCACTTAATTTAAATATTATTTCCAATACTATAGAATTTGCTTCCTACTATTTAACACTCAACTCAGTTTAATGAAAGGGTATTGCTAGAAAACTAGGCTTAAGCATTGGAACTGCCACAAGCTGAAATGGCAATGCAACCAGGGTAACTCTGTTATATTTAGTTTTGTAGTAGAGAAAGGTGCGTACCAGGATTTTAACCTTCTTCCAGTGTGATTTTGGGTGGTCTCCCTGCAGAATGCAATCAGAGAAGACTTTGAACTGGCTTTCATTCCCTCTGCCACTTCACCACATATTGACCTCTTGATGTTGTTATTCCATAGAGATTTGAGATGTATTTTGACCCCTGGGGTACTGCTGGAATTTGAAGCTTCTTGTTCACTTGAAATTTCTGTGAAGTTTTTCCTCGGAAGTTTTCCAAAACATTCCCCCAACTTCTTACAACTGCTCTCTGATGTTATTGTGTTAGTTCATTGTCTACTTCCGAAGAGTGCAGTGAAGAGCTTTTGTTTAGCAAGTAAATCGTGGATCAAATGAGAAAGTTCCAAATATGTGAGACAACTTGATGAGGTCATTAAAAAAAACCTAAAGGAATCTACAAAGTTAATCTAAAATGGTGTTTGGGAGAAGTTTCTGAAGACTTCCAGCTTTCTCATCGGTCTGTTAAAATCCAAGACAGTTATAAGTGTTGCTGCTGTAGACGATTTTAAAAAGGCTTATAAACGTATTTGTTATCAATGCTTTATTGTTGAAAACAAAATCGAAATTCTCTGGCACATAAAACAATTATTTCTACAAAAGGAAAGCCTACAAATCTTGATAATTTATACAAACAACAGTTTCTCAAAAAATAAAATTTTAATTTAGTAAACTTGTGCTCTATATTTTTAGCACTGTCTGCAATAATCCACCATAAATCCCTGAGCGGAGACATTTTTTGACCATGTTCTATAGACCCCCTCAACACTTCCCCCAAGTTGGTCAGTTACTAAGCCCAGCCCTGTACTGAAGGGTGTCAGGGACATTTAGTTGTTAATGATCCATGCATTTTATGACACAGGCCCAATTATAACGCTACTTGGGAACTGGGTCAACATGAAGTGCCTCTGCTGTGCCATCAGCAAACCTACCAAGAACCAAGTGTGTGAAAAGAAGAACAATAACAATAAAAAGACACAAAATGTTAAGACTAGGAAGTCATCATAGGTCAATAACTATTTAAATAAATAAAAATGTTAGACACTGAATTCACCTCTATATCCTTATATTAAATTCCTTTTTGCCTTTATTAATTTTTTTTTTGCAATTGCCAATGCACTAGAAGATGAAAAATATACTTCAACCCACGCTTTTGGTTTGACCACGTATTTGTTGTTGTTAAACATTAAATATCATTCTGAAAACACAGTGATTTAATTATAATTTAACTTTTGGCCCTTCAGTGAAATGTTTACCAAATAATATACATATTAGGAGGGCCTTCTTTTAATGCCATCAACAAATCTCTCTATGTTGCCCTTCTCACCGAAACACTAATGCCATAGGAACACTACTTTAATTCTTTATCCCACCTTATTCAGATATGCAGCAAAACATATAAAATATGAAGAAAACGTAATATGATCTATTTGCATGTCCAGCTTCCCTTAAATGGGGACGCTGACCATATATACACTGAATGTGAAAGGACAAGAAAAAAAAGCTAATTTTAAGTTGCGCAGAACTGGTTTAATGAATCAAGTTTTGTTATTTTGCTATGGTAGAATAATAAATAAATAAATATGTTGGGTATTGTATAGCTACTTTCTCTAGGAAGAAGTTGAGAGTGGATCGTTGTTTTTCCAAAGTTAATTTTTAGTAGCAAAGTTTGACTGCAAGTCAAAAAATGTTCAGTAAATGTTTCTCTCTACTTCCCTTATAGCCTTTTACTTGTGAAATTATCATTGAAGTGGTTACTAATAGGTAATGAAATAAAATGCCAAATTTGCTAGTGAAAAATAGTTTTCAACTGTGAAAAGCACTTGGCAGGAGACCTAGAAACACGTGGGCTAATGCTATAGTCTACTGCAGCTTAAAATAAGTCATTTTTTATGTCTTTTGGGAAGAACAAAGTATGATTAAAAATAATTCCTCAAAAACTTAATCAGCACTGCTGTTTAGGTACCTATTAGAAAGTGATTAGCATTTCATACCAACTCTTTCCAAAATATAAAATCGTTGGCAACCATCATTAATACACCCTCGCACAGACTTGATTTTTAACCCAGCAACATCTGGAAGGCACAAAGCATCTTCCCTTTTGTCTAATAGCTGCTGGTTAGTTATTGGAACTAGACCATTTGTTAAGCTTCCTTTTGATTTACCGCCTTAGCATGAGCGTTAACCAGGAATAGCCATTTTAAAAGGCAATTTCAAAAGCCTAAGAATTAATACAATGAATCCTCCTAGGCAGTTTTGGGAAAACGTCAGTGACGTCAAAGTAAAATACGCCTGCCTGGAACACATAAGGCCTCCCCAGTCCCTCCTACAACACCAGTGAGAAACATGGTTTGCTCTGTTCTGTATACTCTTTTCAGAATATGAAAAGCAAAGGATGCCCAAATGATGGTGACATCTAAATCATAAAACGTTATGTGCACTAGTCAGGAAACAAATGTAGACTCTGACAGATCCTGACACAGTATTAAAAAAAAAAAAAAAAGTCTCCTAAGTTTTAGACACTGATAAGCAGGCTGTCCCAAAGAGGGAAGACAGCAGCGTCAGGACAACCAGCCAGCTCACCAGGATTCACACGACACTTGAATCACTGCGTGTGAACACTTGACCGTAATAGTTTACCATGGCTGAACAGAAATTCTGACTTCCTCTCACAGTGTTTAAGGAACAGTATAATTTCTAAGTTAGCTTTCAAAATTGAACAAAATTTGAAACTTAGACTCCCCTCCCCTCTTTAAGAATGCCAAAAGATCCTGTTTTAAGTGCTCTGGTTTACGGTTCTATGGGTAACAATTATATCCTGCAGGAGGTTTCCAATGTTCCTCTTTTTGGTGTTAACGGCTGTGCCCACAGCAAAGTGGATACTCCCAGAAGTGGCAGTGACCTCAGTGACCTCTGCCCCACCGGTCTTGAAGTCCAAACTAGCTCTTGTCATAGCACTGCTGGGAGGTTCTGTTCGTTAATGAAGCCGGCTTTCAAATATGGAGGAGGATGAGGTACGGCCCTACTGTGTCAAGTCTTGGAGGTCTTCAAGCCTTGCTTTTCCATGATGTTCCAGAGTTTGCGGAGATTGGACTGCGTGATGACGTCATCTGGCTTGAGCTGCAGCGCCCGCAGGTAGTTGGCCTCAGCCTTCTGGAGTCGTCCATTGAGGTGTAGGATGGCTCCCAAGTTCATCAGAGCAGCCGGATACTGGAACCAGAGAGAGGAAGGAAAACGATTAAGAGGCCATGGCAAGCTTTCCTTCATGGAAGACAAAAATCTTCATCCATTTATGCAAGTGACTCCCTTATGTCTGGAGGCATTTTATGGAAGCAATGTAGCAATTTAGACAAATAGATAAAACAGGAAGGGAAAAAAAGGTTTTCAAACAGCTGCTGTGTACTTTGTGCTTTAAAGAGTGCAGGCAGTTAGGGAAATAGCTTTTTCTTTAATGAGAAAGTATAGGTTACCTATGGAGACCTAGTAACCTAGTCACACTGTACTTTCTTGAGAAAAAAGTTGAACAGGATACAATTTTAGATGGAAAGAATTGAACTTTTTTTCAGCTCAATGCCAAGAAATAAAAAATTAAGTGGGAAAAGTTAACAAATCTATGTCTACCCATTCTTTGCTTTCTCTCCTTAGCAATATTCTAGGCCATTTCTGCAAACATATGTAAATAAGTAAAATATACTGTAAAATTTTACTGATGTTTTCAGGGTGAAAACCCTGAAAAAAATTCAAATGCAACCACTAAAATGCTTTCCAAATTTAACTCATGTAGTTTAACGAGATAAAGCTCTAATTTTTAAGTCAAACAGCTTTTAAACTTCTAATGGTCGATGTTTACAATCAATGTAGCAATATAGTATGTAGCACTAGTTTAATACAAGGGTTTCCACCCCCAAATTCTCAAACATTAGTTAACAACAAGGCCTTCCCAAAGGAAAAAACACTTTGCTTGTTATCTACGAATAAGGGCTGTTCTGTTCTTGTCTTGTCCCTGGAACTTTCTGGCTAACAAAGGGCAGCTGATACCTTGGCAGTTACATAAATGCATATTTCAAACATCAGATAAAACTAAAATTGTTTATGCTAAGATTATATTTTCATTTTACAGATGGTGTCAACTATTAATTGTCTTGGCAACTATGATACAGCCTAAAATAATTCACAATTATTTTTATGGTTTAGTGTTTTCACAATGCAAGCATTTTTTTCAGCTGAATTCATATGACTCCACTCTTAACTGTAAATACATTTCTGAATCAGAAACAATGCTGGGGGGAGGGTTGAATAGCTCAGAGTAAATCAGCTGGGAAAAGATAATCAGATTTGGATTTGAAGAGTACTGGATTTGAGTTCTTCCCCCCCCCC